AGGCGAGTATGCGATAAAGATTGTGGAGAAGAAATTTATCCAGGATGCCAGCTGTGTTGCTGACGGCAGTCTGTTCGCGAAATGGCCACGCTATGCTGTCGCATGTGCTTGGCTTTCGAGAAAGAGGTTCAAAATCGTGGCAACCGAGTGATCACCGAGCGCCTGATGCTCGCGAAGATGGACCATCCAAAAATTGCCGACGGCCTAGAGACGTGATGCAGCAAGCACACCAGAGGTTTGCGATCACCAGTAGTGTTTCCATGGAAGAAGGTGCGGCTGTATTTCGCCTTCCAGGACGCGCGCCTCTTCGAGGGTTCTTGTTGCGCGGCAGCTCGGCGGCTCTCAGCCCGTCCCTCGTAGGACCTTTGGTGCCTGTACTTTGGCTTGGAACTGGTCAGAGCCTTCGAGACTTCGAAGTCGGAAAGAGAGGGCTTTGCGGGATTCAAGTCAGCCTCCAGGTCTTGGGTGGTGACCTAGCCACACAAATAGAGCGAATGGGTCATGGACTGAGATGGCGCTTCATGCTTGAATCCACGCAAGCTTCAATGATCAAACCTGCTTATCGATACCTCCCGCCCTGCAGCTCCTCGCTATGTTGGCAGAACATCCATCAGGCAGCTGCTCCTGGGAGTTCACGCGCTTTTACACGGCGGAGATCATCGACATACTCTCGTGCCCCCATGAGTTTGGGTAGCACTTTGCGAGGGTTTTGATCAGTGCATGCTCGTTGTTTCCAGTGGCTAGCCCACTGGGCCCCTGTGCTTGCAGGTACCTCCGCCAGTGCCGGGTGGCACATCGAGATCTCAAGCCGGAAAACTTGCTTCTGACCTCAGAAGGCCGACAGTCCTGGTCTGGCATGTTACTCCTAGCGGCTTCTGCTATAGCGAATGCAAAGCTCTGCCGACCCAGCGATTTTGTCTGGAGGGTGTTTTGAGACAAATCCTTCAGCATTCTTTCAGCCGTTGGCTTGTAAATGCTTGCAATGCTTTATGGGTTCTACTCCAGGTCACTTGAAGCTGGTAGACTTCGATGCGGCCATGCAGGTGCCAGACGAGGCCGGTGCTGCCAAAATCTGTGGCGACGGTGGGCAGTGCTTCGCTACAGCCGTGAGGGAGCAAATCCGAACAACCCATAGACGCCATGTGAATATTTACAAACTTTTGGCATCTGGAGGTTCTCAACACGAGTTTCCACAAACGTGTGACGGAATGCCGCGAATTTCGGGCAGACACAACTGACACAATACTTATGGATCAGAGTGGACTCCAATCTGATGTGCGTGTGGTTTGCAACTGAGATCTTTTGAGCGTCGCGGCGCAAATCCAAGTTTTATTGTCCGTCGCAGGGTTCTATGTACAGGACGAGGACGGATGAGTATTGTGCATCTGGTAACAAATGTGGGAGCTCAGGTATTGGACAGGCCGCCCGGTCAGTGTCAGTATCTGTTCGTTTCGGCCGTCGGCTGCGACTGAGCACATATAACTGCCCTTGTATTGCAAGGAATGGGACAACACAGCACCCAAGCCATGCAAAAGAAAGTCACCTCCTGTCATCTGCGGAGCTTGCAGAGATCACTAGGAATATATACTGTAGTATACCACTCACACAAACAAACGCGAACGGCGAACGCGCAATTCTTTGAGAAAGCTAGTGCTGGTGCTCTTGGTGAGCACCCAAGCGAAGCTGTACTGTAGGACTACTCGCATGTCCCGCTAGACCTTCCTTGCCGAGCTGTCGAGTAAGCCACCAGATGAATTCCAAGCAGCGTTTCTGATCTATATACTCGCATGTATCCTCGCCTTACGTGACGGTATTAGTACAAACACGCAAAACAGTTGTGTTGGTGAGCACGCCATATTTACCTGCCCGCAGGAGGCAGCAGACGCTTTCACTAAACAGGTTTCAACAGCAAGACCAGATCAAGAGGCTTCATCGAGTGAAGCGCAGCAATGCCTCTGATCGGAGGCTTGCCACTGCAACAGCATGCTGTGGTTGGATGTTCTCCCTTACATTTTGTCGTAGACAGCAACCACCGCAAGACAGGCAGGTCCCGCATTCTGCTTGCAATTGCCGGTCTCCTTCAGGGCGAGGGCGATGCAGCTGGCGGCCGAGCTTCCGGAGGAAGGGGAGAACACTGCAGACTACCGGCAAGAAAAGTTTGCTGCGATACTATGAAGGAAGAGCCCACCACACTCCGCTCGCTGTCAGGAGAGTTCCCTCCGGCCGAGAGCTTTGTGGGCACTGCGCTGCCTGGGTCTCTGAACGCAGGGTCACCTTTTGTCTGCGGTCCACCATCTAGGCCCAGCGGTCCGAGGTATTTGGGTTCTCGATCCTTCGTTGCGTTGTGTCGTGTCTAAGATCGATGCGAGGGTTGACGATCCGGGCATTGATGCTCGATTAAGTAGCCTATTTTGCAATGTCTTGCCAGCATCCACCAGAGTGGAGGAAGGACAAACAGTCCGATGCCTGCACCTAGAATTGGCCAAGCATTCGTCATCTGATGTCTCGGATGGCTGAATGCTGAATCTGCTCGTGTTGCAGTTGGAGCGTGACTCAGCACAAGGTATGTCGCTCCAGAGGTCCTTCTCGGTACGGCAGAGCCCCAACAGGCTCGGAACGCCCCACCTCCATGGTAAAGCTATGTAAAGCTTATGACGTCTTGTGAAGCCTGGCACCTGGCTTGCGGAACTTGGCCAGGCATTTGGTTTGGATGTCTGGGCTTTGGGATGCATTGTCTACTTGGCGCGGGTCTGAAGTTGGCGACAAAGGTCTGGACTGTCAACGTGGCATAGGCTCCAGTCCAAAAGGCAGTGCTATGTAAAGCAGCCGTGCTGAGATGACTGTCGGCAGAACACCATTCCACGCAGAGTCAGAGTGCGGGCCCGAAGTGACAAGCTGGTATCTGTTCAGTGCACCGTGTGCCCGACAGATTGCTGCAATGTTTCCGTCGCGGTGGATTTGTTGGCTTGTGGTGCTGAGATACCTGGTTTTCCAGCGTGTGCAAACCCTCGACTATACATGCCCTCCACGGGTGTGGAAGAAGGCTGGGATCGAACTTGGCGCGCGAAGTTCGGAGGATGTATGCAGACGTCAGGCTCGGCAGTTCATCGAGGCGGGGCAGACGGTGCACGGCAGAGGGTGGGCAGGCAGAGACTCTCCGTTGCCAGGGCCTGTTGCAGCTCGCACCGCAGCAGCGCCTCGGCGTGGGCGAGGAGGTCAGGCTCTGCCTTGGTGCACCTTAGAGCCTTAGAGTAGTGCAAGATAGCGCGACTTTCTACCAGGGTGTGGCTGACCTGCAGCAGCATGAGTTCTTCAGTCCTGTGCCTCACTCAGAATGACGAGTCGAACGGCATTCGTCCGCACCGAAAAAGCCCCCATCTACCCTCGGCTTCTAGCCCGGCCTCGTGCGAACTTATCTGCACGATCATCAAAGAAAGGATTCGGAGCGGAAACAGCTCGGGCGCCCTGCTTCGCTGTAAAGAGTGAAGATGGATCTCCCACACTTTGGGCCCTCCTGACACGACTTGTCGATCACAGGCTTTTTTGTATAACAGGAAAAGTGATCCAAAATTTTCGCAAGATGCGAGAAATACCTAGTCAGTAAGATCTGGCTCATGGTGGGTTCATGACAGGGGGCAGAAGGCCCAGATGCATGGTACCCCTGTCCATCCCTGTCCCGCTCACGAATCGGCGAGGGAAGCACTCCGGACTGCAACACGACTTGCCAGAACCGGCACATGCGGTTCTGTGCTGCGGCCTGGCCTTTGTCATCTGCTTCACGGGCTCCCCTTCTAACCTCCCTGGACAAAGCCATGCCGGTCAAGATACTGGGGAACCCAATCATCGTACTTGTTGCTTAAGTAGCATGTAGGTCCCCATAGGTTCGTGACGGAAGGATTCACTCTTCTCGGGCGGATGCGTTTCTGCGAAATTGGCGCTGGAAAGGGCGAGTCGGGTCAAACAGGCCTCAGGTCTCACAAGGCTTCGCTGCTTTGCGCCTTTGCCGTCGTCTTCTGCCCTCTCTTCCACTTCAGACGCATGTGCATGTCTAGTGGAGTCACAAAGAACCTGTGCGCCGAAACGTTGCATGAACTTCGCGATGCCGACCCCGACGTTTACACATGGTCTCTACGCTAAAATGAAAGTAACATACCGCCAGCGAGCTATCCAAGCCAGTTGAATTGTTTGTCGGATCCTGTGTCGGTCCTAGCTGCAGAATTTCGGTCTGCAGCAGCACCTGCACTCCAACCATTGTCGTTGTCCGAGGAAGGCTTCGACGGCATCCACAGGTGCGCAAGTAGTACAAGTTCAGTTGCAGCAGCCAGTCGCACAGGGAAAGCTTGCGCCTGAGGCAGACTCCCCCACCGCGGATGTCGCGGCCTTTGATGACCCTGCCTCAGCCGCCTCCACCCAGCACTTCCGACGCTGTGGAAGAATCGTGACTTGTCCACAGGAATCGACGAAGCGATGGCCTCAGACCGAAACGGCCGGCGTTCGAAGCACTGAGCCACGTTCCAAGGACCGGAGGAATTGGTGCGACCCAGTGCTGGGGCTGGTTTCGCTGATATTGTCTGTTGGTCTGATCACACAGGCTGTGCGTGGAGTTTAGGGCATCGCGGCATCGCAGGCATCACTTGTAGGGATGTTGTTGTGCCATGCGCTACTCCGGCTCGTCGCAAAGCAAAGTCTGACCAGCGTGAAGAGCGCGCTGGAGCGAGAAATGACTGCTTAGCTTTGTAGAAACCCCTTACAGTATTTGAGCCAGTACTGGGGCCTTACGGCCTTACAGGTCCCGCTCCTGGATGCAATGGAGGCGATTAGGGCGAGTGCTGCTTTGACATCAGCCGCTTGGGCACAGATGGGCGTGTACCCTAAAGGACGGCAGGAACAGCAATCAACGTACACGAAGGGTAGGTCCCGAAACAGCCACCTGCTTCCGGTGCGAAGTTGCTGATTCTTTCAGTTGAGAGCAGTTGCCCCAAGGGCCTGGAGATGTCTTGATGCTTCCTTCGGTGCCGCCTGGGCTGGAACTGACAACCGCTGCAAGGTCGCAGTTGGATCATGGTTCTTTGGGACTTCCGCTGCACTGTGCTTGAATTCAGGCCCCGACCTCTGCTCCATCGGATGGTTTGCAAGTGGGAGCAGGCTTGCATCGCTCACTCTGCTTTAATTGTCTGCTATGCAGCTGTCAAGTCAGGATCCAGTCTCACGGCGAAGGACAGCGCTGAACTTTCCGAGCTTCTACGTCGACACGAGGCATGCCTTTGAACAACCAGCTTTACACTCTTGTTACTCTGGTTGGTTTGCTGTGCCATGTGGTCGTGTGCTCAGACATTCGAGAACCTCGAGAATCGCTGTCTGCGGGCCGCTCGTTCTCTGAGCCTGATGTGCTTGGCAAACGGAATTCACATGACTCTACCACAGTCTCCCTCCGCCTGGCCAGGATATATGCCGCTCGACGCAGCTGCTGTCCGTTGACCAAGGCGATTACATCTGCGTAGACCTCAGGGCCGAAGTTGTAAGGACAAGCTCAGCCGGGCAATGCCAAGCACGGCAGTTCTGCATCATGCTCACATCGGACGCAGCTTCGAAACATTCGGGGCTCCATCTTCGATGCAGAAGTAGAAGCAACCGTGCCTGGTACTCAGGCCGAGCTGGTCAGGAGTCAACTGCCTTCATCCAGATCCTCGAAGGTGCTGTGATGCTGCAGCATCATCAGTATGGCAAGTGATAAGCACCACTATGACAATGCGGAGAAGCAATTTTGGAAGCGTGGAAAGACTGAGCGTTGCGAAGGCACTGCTGCAGTGGTATCGCCGAAGGGTGTGCGGCAGCTACTGCAGGCAGCGGAGCGGAACTCCGGGCTTCGCTGCAGAGGGTGCATTATGGCATTTTATGGCCTCTGGCATGAAAGCTGCAGCCAGGGCAGCGCGATCGGAGAAGATGTGCTGCTGGGCTCGCAGGAGCATGGTGACCTTTCTGCGTTTTTTGTTGAATAGTCCGACTTGGAAGTGCAGGAGTTCTGGCCCTTCAGTCTTCGTGCCGAGAGTGACGTGAGAATCGCGTGGCTGGAGGCTTCAGTCTTCAAAGAGGCAGGGGAATCTAGGGCGACATGTACAGCGCGTCGAGCGTTCCGGCTACGCAGGTCTCCATGGACCTCTCAGGCCATGCCGCAGCTCGGCGCCGAGTTCTCGAGGCGATCGCTGCAACGCTTGCTGGTTTCCGTATCGGTCCGAAGTCGTCAAGTCTCCAGACATCGAACCGACCTTGAAGATCTTGAAGTCAAATCAGCCTTGCCTTCTACCAATCCGGACAAGTCTGGGCAGTCTCGGGGAACGGGACGCTTGCCAGAGCATTGGCTTTTATTGACCTTTGTCTTGGCTCAAAGTTATACGGTCTACTACCGTCCTCGCCGGGCTGGCTGCTGGGCCAGACAGGCCGGGCTTTTCGCACTCGGGTCATCAAGGGTCAATCCAGCTTGGTGTCAGAAGGGTGTTGCGGGTAAACTGCAGTCGTTAGAGGTGCAGCTGGACATAAAAGAGACATCACAGCCGTAGAAACCGACCGAACATTATCTCATTCATCCATCCATCCATCCATCCATCCATTCATGCATGCATTCATCCTTCCATCCTTCCATCCATCCATCCGCCCACTCACCCACGCACGCACGCATGCATGCATGCATGCATGCATGCATTCATGCATGCATTCAGTCATGCACCTCCTCACCCCTCCGTCCATCCGCCCATCTGTTCACGCACCCATCCGTCCGTCCGTCCATCCAACCATCCATCCATCCCTCCCTCCCTCCGTCCCTCCCTCCATCCATCCATTTCCGATCCCTCCGTCCATCCGTCCAACCAGCTAGCCAGACATCCACCATACCCACACATGCACACAACCCCCTCTAAACTGAAGGCCCTTCCACTAGATCCTTCTCCAAATCCATCCACAAGCCCTGTTAACTATTGTGAGTCATAAGTTATAACCTTCTGTATAAAGCTTTTACAAACAATGAGCCGAAAGTTTTCCCACCCTATGTCCGATGTATTGGCAAAAGTCAGGATCGCGGCCAGAATGCTTCCACCCATGTACTGGCAGGATCCAGGTAGAAACTCAGGAAGGAGCAGGGCCACAATGCCTCCCCCATGTACGTTGTGGGATTCAGAGAGATGGCTAAAATGCCTCCCCAGTAGGATTCAGACGCCACACGTTCGGACACGGGGCGCGCTCAGGGAGGGTTGTCATGCCAATCCCAGATCTTGCTTACCGGAGGACCCGGACACGCAGCCTTCACCGAGATTGTTGTCGGTTCCGAACACGAGTCGTCACTTCACCGACATGACACGACATGCGAAGCGCCATTTCGCCTGACCGAACACTCCCGCATCAGGAGCGACTTGCCAGATCCGATGCCGATTCGTCATGGAACACGTGTGCAGCGATAGTTTGCGATGTGAGGCGACTCCTGCTGGCCCTGTCCCGTGAGTTAAAAATTAACTTTGATCAAGAGATAAGAAACAACCTTACGAGAATCTCACATCATGCCATGCAACCTCACTCCATCAACATCACCACATCATGCCATCCAAACGACCTCCAGGGAAGCACTCTTCGTCACGTTTTGCGGAAAAAGTTGGTTCGAGCCACGTCCCGATGTCGTATTGAGGCGAGCAGAACAGCACTGTAAGACCGCGAGACAGCAAGCACCAAAACGGTTTGAGTGCTGCAGATCCAATGCGAAACTCGTTGCCCGACGACTTGGCAAGCTCCGAAGCTCTTGCCCAGGCGACATCAGGCCTTCCATATGCCACTTTGTTCGACAGTTGCCGTATTGCAGCCACATAGCGTAGCAGAGCATTTGATTCAAGTTCAGTCTGTAAGTCTTTAACAGCTGTTCCTCTGTGCAGTGCCTGCAAGGGCGTGAGCTTGCATTGTGGTTTGGTCAAGGTATGGAACCTTCACAGGTTCAGAGTTGCGGCGTCGGCGTCGCGAGGCTGCCGGCGATAAGGATGTGCCGTGGCATGCTAGGAATCCAGACGACTGCAAGGGCAAAGTGCAGCAAGCGTAAGCAAATCGCCTGGAACACGGTGAGCACAAACTTGCTCCCATCTCAGGAATTTCCGTGGCAGATGCTCGGCCTCTTTGTTGTCATCTTGGGTGCTTATGCATTTGCCCTGCTGCTGGTCAGAATTTTGTGCTGTCCAAGAATGTCTCTCAGTCTCAGTTCTCTACCACGGCTGTAACAACTCTAGACGCATTTGCGGCTAGACGAAGTATTCCAATTTTTCCTTGGTACCAGCGATTCAGGGTGTTGGTTCAGATGCAAAGGTATGGCTGCTGGGACGTGGCAGCTCGACTGGATGTGCTGGCAGAGAGGTGGCTTGCGGATTTTTCCCGAAGAGCTTGAGCTCTGGGGTTTTCAGCTGAAATAAGGTTTGGGGCAGATTGGGGTGGGGCGCCAGGTTCCGGCAGGTCGGAGAGGTTTTGGGTGGGTTCCAGCGTGAGTTCGGGGAAAGGTTCGCTTGGACAACGCATTTGGAGCAGCTTCGCTGGTCTTCGCCCCGGCCCCAGTCTCCGAAACCAAATCGAGCTCCCGCAGCCTCCGACCAACATCAATGCCGTGCCTACACCACGAAATTCGCACCGCAAATGCTTCAATTTGGTTTCCAGGGCTTCAGAAAACATTTTCAAGGCTTGGAAATGCATTCAGAGCTGTTTCAGCTCTGTCGGCTTTTCTGGTGCCAGATGTGAGCCCAACCGACAGCCATTCCGCTTTTGGGGATGTTCAAGTGCAAAGCCGGTCGTCGAGGAGGCAGGCATCTGGAGAGAGCAAAAGAAAAGACGTGTGACACAACGTTTCCGAGTCGATCTCTTTCAAGGTTTCTGTCCGCGAAGGCGAATGAAAGAAGCTTGACTCCGCGGCGCAACAAACCAGATCAGGGTAGGGTTTGGGGAAAGTATAGCCGCATAGCCAGAGCTAGAGTGATGAGCTTGCTGCCTGGCTCCCGCTCCTTCAAGGGCATTTTGTCTGTGTTCACTCGTTCTATGGCCTTTTGCCCAGCGCGTTTGAGTGCCCAAGCAGCGTACTGTTCACCATGCCACGTTTCGAGGTTTCCACGCTTGGTTGTCCAGTTGTTCATTTCAAGTGTGGTATCACGTTCGGCAGTTTGTGGCTTTTTCCCCTCCGCATCTCCTACATTGATTTGGAGTTCGATCTGGTCTTGGCTCCTTTTTGACTCGCGGTTTACCCCTCCCACTGCTTCCGTGGCTTTAGGGTTGCTAATCTAACGTTCCGTTTCAAAAGAATCTGCGGCATGAATTGGCCCTTCACTTGCTTCAGCACCCGGTGGACTCGGCCTGTCTCTTGGGTGACTTCTTGTCTCTTTTCTGTTTGGCACCCATTGCGCGTGCAAGTTTGGACAGGCTCCGTGACAAATGCAAGTCGCAGAGGGCCGCACCCCGCCGTACCCTTCTTCCCCGAAATGAGGGAACAGTACCTTGTTCCGTGAGACAGGTCCTAAGTTGTAAGCGGATCCCCACACCGGACAGCCCAGCTATCTACAACAAATCCCGAGCTGTGCAAAACCTGCGCTGTGCCGGAGCATGGTTAGCTCACTCCAGCGGGGGGGAACGCCCTTCGCACGAGTTGGAGCAAACCTTGAGACAAGCAGCCCCTGAAATCTTGGGTGCATGACAGCCAGCTAGCTTTCGCGATCGTTGCTTTCTGCAACGAAGAATAGTAAAGGCCACGGCGTGAGCCCCTGCAGGTCTGGAAATGTGATGAACCTCACCGGCAAAGCGACAGGAATGGTCGAGACTGAGATCAATCGCACACTCTACGAGGCTGTGCCGATATGCAGAAGATCTGCTGAAGAATATCTGTGCACGCCTGTCTTCGCCAATAACTGCTTCTATTCTGAGACCACTGAGATCACTGGCTTGATTTGAATCCTGTGCAACGCAGGGAGATCGTGCTATGGTAAGAGGATTCCCGGCATGCACTTATGACTTCTTTATTTTATGTGATTGGTGTTGGAGACTATTGCGAGGAAGCCCGACGCAGACTGCGAGGGCAGTCTCGCAGCGCCACTTCGAGTAGGGAGTCATACGGTCAGTGCAGCAAGGGACCTCTGTTTCGATAGAATCGTAAACCCTGCGGCTGAGGGCTGAATCTGCTGCAGCAGGAGGCGGAGCAGGCTAAGGAGGAATCGCGGCTATGAAGAGAGTCAAGTTGGGGAAGATAGTAGGCATCTAGCTTTGATATCGACATGTGGTCGTGCCGAGCCTCTAGATGGCATGAAGGTAACTCCCTAGGCTGTGAAGTGCCAAGGAATCTTCAAGACTGGAGCAGGCTCTGAAAGAGCTTATAAAGACTGCGGAAGCGAAGAGCACGGCACCCAGCACCAAGCCCAGTGCTGCAGGTTTCGGTGCTTACTGCGGAGTAGGCTTTTTTTGTAAGACAAGACGCATCGTACTTACATCAGCAGGCGGATGAAAGGGTGGGCGTTTCGCCGGGTAGGGCGGATTGAAAAAGGCATCCTGTTCGGCAATATCGGAGGTTTCGACAAGGCTCAATAGTTCACAGCGCCGCAGTACTAGCAGACTTGGGCATCAACGGAGCTTGAGCGTAAGGTGCTGGCGGTGACTACGAGCACGCAATGTACTTGCTCGCTGCGCAGGCCGGATACCATGTAAGACATGGCAGGAGCGAAAAAAGAGGTTTATTTCGGAGTCGGAGAACCTTGCAGAACTGGCTTGGACAGGAGCTGCGATTGGACCAGATGCGACGAGGACAGGAAGCCACTAAAGCAGCAGCACCGTGTGTCTCTGGCCGAATGGCAAAGTTCCCGCCAGGATTGAAGTCCGTGGCATACCCTGCGGAAGGCAAAGACTTTCTAGACTCGCTCGGAAGCATGCTGTACCTTGGCCCTGTGTGGTGTAGCAAGCATGGCCTCTGCCGACACGTTGTTTCGCCAAGATCCGTGGTGTTCCCCCTCGCAGACCTGCTCCCTGGCCACCAGGCCGGGGTTTTGGGCTCCGTGAAGCGGCTTGGCAGGGGTCTGGATCTGAGGTCGCTTATCTGAGCATCAAGAGCGGTGCAGACAAGCTCGCTGATCTTCAACGCGAGTTCGCGAAGACCAGGAGCAACTTGCAAGAGGAAGTACATGCAGAGTTCAAGCAATGCAGGTGCAGTAATGAACTGTGTGCTTGCGTGCTGGCCCCTCTTCTGGCTTTGCCCTTGAAGGCATGCTGGCCTCCTTAGATGATTCAGTAGACGAGATGGATCAGCGATGTCGCGACTTTGTGTCCAGTGTGCATATTCTGGCTGCTCAACTCATGAATGGACCAGTTCTGTCATTGAAGATCTGATTGCAATACCACTGAACATGTGTGCCAAGGCCTCCAAAGCCATGGCTCCCAACTACCAACAATCGGTGTCTGGGCATTTTCTTGAGCCTGTTGTTCAACAATTCGCGAGTATCGTTGCAAGATGAGTACCTCTTAAGGTCGCTGAATCGCTGGGGAATGTGTCCGGCAGTGCCACCATGACAAACTTCACTACCTTCGAGAAGTCTGACTCACAGCTTGCATAAAGCACGGAGCTGTTGCGTCCGTCGCAGTCTTATGTTTGAAAAGTTGGCACAGTCATCCGATCGTGCCTCTGAGTATGTTTACTGTGTGTGTGTGTGCATCATGCGGCGTGAAATATCATTCAACCACAACAAATAATTAAGCACCCAAGCACCGAAGGAAAACATGGAGAAGCTGCGGCAGATGGACGCTTGGCAGACAGCGAGTGAGCTGCTGACTTTCTGACCTGTAGCACCGCATGCTCCTGTTGAGAGCCTCAGCATGTGCTTCGTCCATTGTGTAGAGACTGTTACGAGCTTCGCGAATCCTGCTTTTCGAGGACTTGGTCCGAAGCTTTGACCAATTTGGAGAGACCGAGAAGAAGGCAAGGCACCCAGTGGCCATGCGCGATATCATGAGCTTGCTGTTTTATTCTTGATGCCATTTTAAGCTCTCCCTCGAAGCTTCCGTCAAAGCTAGGCTCCGCGGTCGAAAGCCTCTCACGCCAAGGATATAATGCGTGATGCTGCTCGTGTTCACGAGGCAAGGGTTGCAGTGTCATGAAAGGCACGAAGAGCCGTTTCTGGACGGAGCATGAAGCTTTGAAAAGCGAAGGCAGTCAAGAACCACACAAGTCCAGGTGCAAAGCTTGGTAGCTTGCCTCGGGGAGGTGACGGTGAACCTGACCGGCACAGTCCAGGCGCGAGCAGCAGAGCTCTTGGACGAGGCGTCGGAGTCCAGCAGAGCTTTGGGGCTTAGGCTTTGTCCGTATGTTTCTCCGACATTGAAGGTGCTGGTTATGCTGCGGATGACATCCAAGCGAATGCAGGTCTACATGCTGCGGGCAGTGTAAAGTTCTCTTGGTGTCTTGGTGCCGGCTTGCGAGGCAGATCTTGATTCGGTGCAGAGCTATGCCTTCACGGTGGCCATTCTTACCGAGCGGGCCGTGTTTCGACTTGTATGGTGGCAGGTGCATTTTGGCATAAGGGTCGCCCATGCTGCAACCACAAATGTTCAAGCCTTGCTGGGTTTAAGGAGTTTGATGGGCTGGGTTATCTTCGGAAAGCCATGTACCATGGAGGCAGCCTGATTCGAGGGAGCTGCAGGTGAAAGACATCGCAGACTTTTACCGCTGGACTGCCATGTTTTTGGTGGCCTTGGCAGCTTGCCAGCATTCTTTGCTGCATTGCAAAGGCGTTACTTGTTGTGGCAGACTCGGCCGTTTCTGAGGCTGTTGGAATGGCACTGGTGGCGTTCAGCTACGCCTGTTATCTAGAGCATCCGGGACCGCACTCAGGGCAGCTGGCTGAGAAGATTACGTTTGCCAAAGATGGAATGCACATGGCAGGTACATTTACGAGAACAGCGGAATTGCACGAGCCTTTGAGTCTGCCGCTTGACTGCCTGGCCTGGTTGGCATGCAGCATCATGCAGCTCCTACATAGTCTAGCCCAGTGGGTCGGGGGCCGGGAGAGGCGGAAGTGGCTTGTCACTTGCTGCACCGAGCTCGTGATCTAAGGATCCAGCAGTGAGGCACGGTTGCTGCTGGAGCTGTGTGTGTCATGCCTGCAGGTGGAAGTTGTGATTTCGGGAAATGCGCATCAGGCCCGGAGAGATGTGAAGATGTAGTGCTCGCGGGCCCCAGGAATTGTGTGGGACATGTCTTCCACTACACAGGCCTGGCTTTGAGATAGGTTCGGCAAGAGCTCGTTAATGTTCGTTCTTGCAGGCTTCTTCTCGCTTGTTCTGTTACAGGATGCCGCCCTGAACTAAGCTGTGCTTGGCAAAGGCGATACCAGCAAACGTCAGCTTGTTTCTTGCAGACTGCTTTCTTCACGGAAGCTCCGCATGTCGTTTTCCGCCACGGGAAGGGAACCAATACTGTGGCTTGCTGCGTTCTTGCAAGCATGGCTTGCCGCATTAAAGACTCTACAGACACGCTCAGACCGAAGGGTCCGAAGGGTTCATCCGCAAGATGATGCCACAGTCTTTCCACTGACTGCACCACCACTCCCAGCAGCCTCGCATATTCGCGTGTTTCATATTACCCTTGCCTATGCTGTCCGCCGCTATCCGATGCCACGCCTCGCTGGCACCCAGCTGCGTGGTCTCATGTGTGGTAGGATATGGTAGGATTGCCTGAGCGCTCGTGACAAGGTCTCTCTCAGCATGGTTTTCATGACCTTGATCATGAGCACGGTCAGCCTCGCCCAAGTAGGCCTTCGAAGAAACAAGTTGTGTTGTACAGTTTCCCGAGCGTTGCTACAGGCGTGGCCAATGGCTGCGATGGAGTACCGCTTTTATCAGAGGACCGCGCCTCCGGAGATGAAACTACTTGTTGGCTATGGTGCAATGCCATGCAATGCCCATACATGCCCATACCTTACTACAGGATGCATCGTGCACTGCCAGCATGCAGAATGTGAGTGCCTTTGCCGCTCGACTCGAAATTTTTCGGCACGATGCAGAACCTCGTCCTCGGCCTCAAGCTAGAGCAGAGTAGACAGTGCTGCAGGTTGCAGCAGACGTGCTCTACCCGGCGACATCCTGCAGTCAGGCTGCCCGCTCAGCGCATCTCAGCGCAGGGAGCCTTTCTGCGAAGTTGGAAAATGCCTCTAATCTAACGAGCTTCTCACAGAGGCGAACGTCTTAATCTGCGAGAGCCTACTCACTGACATGTCGCATCTTGGCTGCATGTGGTGGCCGTCAGAACTCCTCGTTTTCACTAGTTGACAATGCACGGTGCGAGGCTCGTCTACCGAACCCTGTTGGCCGCAGTCATCGGCACAGTGGTGTTGCTTGGTGGCGCTAAGTAACTGAAGCTCGGGCCGGCCCTGGGATGTATATCGTTTACATAATTCGAGTTGTTACTTCCTGGCCCCGGCCGGCGTCACAGAATGTAACAGAGATTTGACACCGTTTAGGGTTTAGGCATTCGGCTTGACTTGAGGGGTCGGACGGTTTCAGGGTGCGGGGTTGCTGAAGCACAAGCCCCTAACCCTTAAATCCAAACTCTGCAATCTCAAGAGCCTGATTGATCTCCAAACCCATCTTCCTTTAGAGCCCAAATCCCTAACATCCTGAACCTAAATCCAATTACATAGGCCTCCTTTTGTATGCTGATTCCCGAAACCCTGCATGCCCCTTGACAATGGTATATCAAGACCCTAATTCTTAACCCAAAAACCCTCGAGCCCCGAATTCCAAACCCTAAACCCCGGGCCCAAACCCATGACGTTTGAGCCTCAAGCCAGGCTGGTGAACAGGAGTGGGGAGGGGACGTGTTGAGATGTGTTCTAGCTTTGCCACCGCAACAGGGTCCCTATGCCCAGTCAGACCCTTACACCACTTCAATGAACCAGGTGACCAGGGCTGGTAAGCTAGTCTCGATGAGCGAGGGCCACTGACGGTTCGGGCCATGGGAGGGAATAAACAGGGGGTGCAATTTGTTTCTGTCCCCTCCTGGATGCCGAAGCCTCGGCGGACTTGGGAAAGCGAAGTGTCTTTCAACAATCCCATTCCCGAGCCCCTTTCAAGAATCGTTGCTTGACTTGCGATAAGGGGAAGTAAAGCAGGACCTGAAACAAAATGGCCGGGATACAACATCCTCTCACATCTTTCAGAGCAGCAGACAGACATTCGTAGTCGGCCCTTGCTGCAGCAGTCTTAGAACGGAGCTTGACCCTTGAAGCACATGCATCCCAGACTCAGACGCTCGTGAATCGTGGCGAGGTCGTGCTGCATTCCACGTCGCCTGCTGGTGGTTTGGATGTCGGCGCATCACAGCATTCAAACTGCTGAGGTCTGTCCTAAGCGACGGTTCCAGAGCTTTGTAAATGCCCGGCGTTGCAGCATAGAGCTTGCAAGCGCTGATTCGATCTGCAGGTTCTGGCAGATCTTGAAAGAAATGCCAAATCAGCGCCTCTGTTGCAGCTACACGCTTTGCATTTCCATCCTCTGGTGTGGCTTGCGGGGAAGCGGTCCGTGCACATCCTAGCAAGTCACTAGTTGGTGGCAACCTCAGGTCGCAAAGCCAGGAACAGCTTGACATCGAATTGGCTCCTTTCGCTGTGAAAAAAGGAGTCCAGCGTAGCGACAGTCAACACATGACATGAAGCGGGGAAGAGTTGTCTTGAACAGGCCGCTTCCGACAGGTGCGAGGCTCACATCGTGCCAACGATGATTTGAAGTTCCGGTTGTGAGCCTGCGTGCATCTGGTCAGTGCAGTCTGAAGCCATGGCTAGTTGATAGTATCCACTTGCACAGATGCCCAGGAGCCTCAGCAGCCAGGACTCTGGACAGTACACATCAATGCGGTCTGATTTCAGCTTGCTCTGCAAGAATTGGATAAGAGACGAACGACAGCCGGTGGACTTTGGACAGGAGCCCAAAGTTTTAGCAGTTAGCATATCCGAAGCGCCTGCAGGATGTGGACCTTCTACTGGCGGTCATGAAGGCTTGCCAACATCGATCTGCTCTTTTTGGAGGGAACATGTATGGTCGCTGTCGATGCGATGCACGACAACAAGGCTGAAAGCTAAACAGTAGCCGCAAGGAAAGCCAAGAGCCGGACTACACATCACAAGATCAGAAGGTCGGAGCGAAAGAGAGCTGCACTCTGCGAGGCACTGCAAACTGCTTGCCGAAATCTCAAACGGCCAAGCCCCGGCAGTGCACAACAGCGTACATCTTTTATCTGACCCGAGCATTGGAGACACACCTAAGGACCTAAGGTATCCTAAGGTCCGAACTGTCTCAAATTTCACCGAGGTAGAGGGATGACGAAAAGGCAAGCAGAGAGTCACCGTTTAAGTTAGGCTGCAAACAAGACACTCATTCTTCCTGCTGAAAGGGAGGCGAGGAATTTCACTGAAGCAGTTCGAGGTGGAGGTTACATCAAGTTACATCAATTACTTCATTTTGTGTGTCATTGCATCCTTCGCAGGTTCCCTTGTTTCAGTCCTTGGAGCATGACCAGCGCGTGGAGGTGGCCAAGGAGGCTTCTGGATGTTTCAAAGGTTGTCGAGTGTTGCTGGTACTGTCTGCATGCAAGAGGTCGAGCTGCATCGAATATGCCAAGGAGGACTCCAGCCTCTCTCTGCGGGTTTTCCTATTCCAGATGCAAAGGCTTGCCTTGACAAACGGAGAGGCTACCGTGCTGCACTGTATGGAAACAGGCATACTATTGTGATACCAGGTACCGGTTGCAGGATCTGCATAGGCATCGCCAAGACTGATTCTTGTAACGATTAGAACTTAGTTTGAACTCGCATCGTTCCGCAGCTCGGAATCCTCGAGTGCAAAGCAGAAGCGAGTAGATAGCCGTGCTCCCAAAGCGTGGTCTCAGCACGGTAGGTCCTGCGACATAGGAAGAGAAGGAAACTGACCTGCAACAGCTCGGCCCGATGTCGCTGAGGCTGCTAATATTTATGGTATCGCAGCCGGTCGAGTTAGCAGCCACTCACGCCACGGCTCACTGCAACATCGTGCAACCTCAACTTGGGTCACGGTCAGGCTTCGGTTGGTTCTGGGCCTCAAGCTCGAAGCTGCCAAGAGTTGAAGTGACGTGATGCACGTCGAAGAAATGCACTTGCATAGGCGTTCAGAAGAGGGTGTTATGGCTTGAAGGCCCTGAAAAACGATTGCACCGCGGCATCTTCAGACTGCCACAGCAGTCTGTTGATAAAAATCGGACCGCCAGCAGTGCCTCTGGACGGCTACCAGTACCGCAGGCTAAGCTTGCCAAGCCAAATTGCGCAGCGACTTCCCCAATCTTGGCTACAAGCAAGCTGCCGGAGTGTTGCCTCGTTGTGGAAGAGTGGCCGGCACCGCACAAGCACCGGAGGATCCTGCACCAGGGCCGCGGTCGGAGCCGTGAGCATGTGTTGGGTTTGGACCAGCTCCGCAGACTTTGAAGAAGCAATGTGCCAGGTGGCCGGACCAAGTCCTGGCAGCTTCCGGGCCGGCGAAGTGTGTCTGCTCGAATCCAACAGCTGCAAGTCCATCGCCTGGGAGCAACACGTCAGTAGCCGTGCTGCCAAATGTAAGAAGCGCCCTTCTGCCGCGGCCAGGCAGACTCGCTCCAGAGGGTTCTAATAGAAGTATGTAAAATTATGTAACGTACAATATCCGTCACAACTTCTTTATGCCCTCAGTATCCCTCAATACCGGCATGTGTTCTGGGTGCAGGTTTTTCTGAAGCAGCGGCCTTCAAAACTTCGGCTTTTGCTTGACCTGACGTGTGCACCAGGAGTTGTTGAGTTGCCAAAGAGCGTGCCTTGGTCGCACGTGATCCAGGCAGCATATCGATGGAGTCTTTTCCAGTCCGTCCCTTGTGGGCACCAGCCAATGCCAACACCATGGCAGTATCCGAGCTGTACCAAAGCACCAAAACAGCTCTTCCTGTTGCCCCGATTTGATTTCACTCTATGTGCAGGCCAACGAGCATGCAGGACAAACAAGTGCAGTCGAAAGATATTGTAAGAAGTTTTCCACCATTGTCGGAAGCCGAAACCGAGGACTCGATTCCCTTTTTCGTTGTACTCAAGGCGACTCGACGTTGACCTCAATGATGTAGTGCGGCACATTTAGGCATGAAGGCAGCAGCATGACATGCTGCAAGTTAGGTTTGGGAGGCACGTGCGAGTTACGGTACAGGGTCTGTTGCTCTAGACGGTGCAAGCTGCCCAGCACAGGGTCGTGACTCAAGAGCTGAACCTCCTTCATTCACGGCTGCTTGTCAGGGCATCGTGGGGCGATATGAAGCAGAAGTGACTGCTTCACCCGAATCTGTCGCAGAGGACTGGGCACTGCGAAGCCACCACCGTGACAATTATGAATGCAAATGCACTAGCAATGGCAAGTCAGACATCATAAGGAAGCATGCATCACGTTATATGTTTATATAAGTATATTTCACACAAACAGTTCAAAACTTCTCCGTGCACAAGTCGAAACAAAGGATCGACATTTCGAGAAGCAGACATTGACGAAGCACTGCATGCTGAGTCGGCACCATGTGCACCTTTATCTCCGGCGCAGTGCTTGCTTACGAATACCCTTTTCTTTCAGGGCTTAGGGCTTGCTCACGCCAGCATTGGCTAATCAATAATCTGCGGCTGGGTGAATGGTAAGTAAAGGTACCATTATCATCCAGAAGTCGAAAATCAAGTGTTCGAACATGTTCACAGATGCGAGCATTTGTGGTTTCTGGATGCTTCGCATTGTCGTCCTTCTTTGAAACTTGCTTCACGCAGCCTCCTCAACCGGTGCTGGGCGTGTTCATTTGCAAAACATCCTGGACCTCAGGGACAGCAGAGCATAGAATGCCCAGCCACATTGCATGCATCCAGTTCTGTGCCACAGAGTTGACAGTCGTTTTGTGAGCATGCTGTCTTCAAAAGCATTCAGCACTGGCTCCTAGGTTTGGAACCATCGGCAAGGAATCGGAGCCCAAGCCTTGACACATCTTGACACCTTTTTGTAAATTTTGTCTGCTTTTCCACCGTTCTTCTGGGCCTGCTGTGGCTGTTTTCCCCTTCGCCGGCGTGCTTGCTGGGACGCCAGGGGCGGCACTAAGTCCTGGGACTGCTTCCAGGCCGAAGAGCACCCAGCAAGCAGGCGTGGGGGTCACAGCAGGGCGACCGTGCCGGCATAGTTTGGGTCTTAGCTGCGGCTGGAGGCCGATGTGTTTCTTGCCGGAGAGCTCCCGGTTCGCGCCGGGTGATTGCGGTCCTACACTTGACGTGTATAGTATAGGTGTCAATGTGCAGCAGGTCGGATTGATCCCGGTTCGTGCCTGGAGTGCGCGGTTACACGTGACATGAGCTGTCGGGATGGATCCCGGTTCGCTCCTGGAGTGCGGGAATACACAGGTGGCACTGAGCTGATGGTCTGTCGGGATGAATCCCGGTTCGCGCCTGGGTTGTGGGGTTGGCCACCCGGTTCACCGGCCCTCATTAAGGTGTTCTCAGAGTTTTCTCAGCGGTTTGATCCTTAAGCCTTCGGGCCGGAGGTGATGCCACGGCTGCCTAACGGGCCAGGCCCTTTGGTCTCGGTCGTCCCTCCATTCCACTCCACTCCACCCCACTCCACTTCCACCGTCGCCCTGTTCGCATTTTGGGCTCCCAAGAAGAACAAGAAAAAGGCCGTTTCGCAGCTATCGTTCCTTTCACCGATCGATGTTTCCACGTCGCCTTCGGTTGTGTTTGAGTCAAACGCCGGTCATGGAAGGATGCAGAGTCTGGCCACCACTTCTGCTGTTTGCGTTCATATTGCAAGCCTCAGGGTTCCACGGGCGACGGTCAGCCCTGGCCTCTTCTGTTTTGAGGTTTAAGCTGTTCGTTCTTGTTTTCCTCGGGACCATATTCTGTTTTGTTGGGCCGTGCTTACCAATGTATAGCTTATTTCGGCGTCTATTGTTACCCTTCGTTTTAGGGTTTAGGCTTTTCCAACATCATTCCTGCTTGTCCACTATCCAGCATCCATTTCGCCCGCCAAAGCTCCTTACATTCAGGTGTGTAGGGTTTGGCTGACAATGAGTATTGTTTTCAATGTTTGTCTACCGTCGCTGCTTAATGCCTAGCGGTTTCGCCCATTGTCCTCTTTGGGAAGTTCGGTGCTCACCATATTTCATGATTTATCCAGTTGGGAGGGCGGGGTGAGTTTCGTTGTTGTTTGAACTTGGGTCTTGGGCCCCGGTCCCTGGTTTCCAGAGCCCGCCGCGCTTTTGCCAGCTTCTTTCTGAAGTTCCTGCATCGCTCGAATGCGGATACTTTCTGTGCTGAAATGTTTCCCGACAGTCAAACCCGACCACATCACAGCATCGGGATTGAACACAGATCTCCGCAATTGAGCAGCCAAGCAGCAGGAGATATCTGTGGAAGCAGCTTCTGGACTGGAGGAAAAGCTCCGTGCCGAGGAGGAGCAGCTGTGTTAGCTTCATAGTGAACCGAGAGTGGTTCGGAGCTGAACTCTGAAGAACGAGCAAAAGACGGGATAAACTTGAGTGGAGGAGCGAGAAGAGTCTTGGCGGCGGCTGGAACAGGGCACAGCCGAGTTGGCCGAGCTCCGCGAGAGGCTAGGACAGCTATGACAAGTTTGGCAGAACGTGGAGCACATGTTACATTACAACGCATCCGGAATCTTCTGCACCCTTGAAACTTCATGCGGGAATTCTAAGGCTTTCACTCAGGCTTTCCCGTTGTTGGTCTGTGTCAAATACCAGCTCGACACAGGATACGCATGCGGCCGCTGGATGTCAGCTTGCAGGCAATCGGTTTACACGCAACTTTGTTTGCTTTTGCCGTTCAACGCACTGCCAGGAGCGCCTTCGTTTTCACTCGCTGAAGATCCAGCTCGATCAGCTCAGGGCAGAGCTTACGGAAGAGGAGTGAAACTGTATGAATAGCCTGGATGGAAGCTCAGATTGTGTTCTCGTGACTCACCGGAGGAACTGGTCCCAGAAGACATGGAACCACCACAACAACACGAGAGTTGATGACTTGGCTCTGTCAGCGTGGAGTACATGTGACTGCTAGAAGGGACCCCCCCAAAACCTCGAACGGTCTGTTGTCATGCGCCAAGGCCACTCCAGTAGTGGGACCTCTGCTGCTTCAGACATGCAACAGGCAGAGTGTTTCTTCCTGCCTGTGTTGTTTGGTTCGACTGGGTGTGGTATGTGCGACTGCCGTGCTGGAGGTGAGTGATTCGGCTTACTACGGATTGGGCATTGCTTCGTTTGATGTGCTTGCCTGCAGGCCCCGGATGAGCCAACAACGGGTCACATTGGTGTGTTCCTCACGATGCTCAATCCAGGCTCCATTACTATCTTCGTCCAGAACAGTAGTCTTTCCCGTTTCTCGCAATTGTCGACTGCCCTGTCCAGCCCTGCACCATCCTCGAGTTGAGATCAAACTGCAGGATCTGCTGACATTGCCATGTCTGGCTGGCCAAATAGAGTGAAGGTTGCAGTAGAAAGATGTAGAAAGTGTTTGAAGATGACCTGCAGACTATTCGGACTGGTCCGAAGTCGCTTGTAGGTGATGCAGATGCTACGAGCATCAATGGTGAGATCGTTGCAGCTCGCCTGCCGCAGAGCCAGTCTGTGACACATGGTGATACGTGCAGCTGGTAGCAAGAGGCACTGGGTTGTGTTGCAGCTCTGGGCCTTTCGCTTGTGTATCTCGGAAACAGAAGCAGAGGATAATGCAAAGGAGGAGCACCATGACAAAGTTCTGGCGGAGTTCTACGAGGGGGACTTCTTTGGTGGTTGGGTCACGAATGTTGGGCCATCACTGTATCGCGCACACAAGGAGAGAAATCTGTCGCGATCGCAAAGTTGCACCGTGCAGCTGCAGAGTCATGAATTGCTGGTTTCCCACATTGTGGCAGGACGTCGTGCTTCTCAGCATTTCAGAGGCGCGGCTGTGGCAGGTCTAGCTCTGGGGATAGCTCTACTGAGCCTGAGGGCTGGGTATTTATGTTTACGCTGTGGGCTTTTTTCTTTGTTTGTGCGAACCCCCCACCGGCCCCCCTGACATGGCGGTGCCATGGTTTCATGACTTATGCGAATGTTTTTGTTTGCCTCTTTCCCCTTCCTCATGCGCACCTGGCTTTCCGCTTGCTCACCTGGCTTTTCCTTCAGCGCAGCTGGCTTTTCTCCCTTGGCGTGGCCGGGCTCAGCTTGGCTTGGTTTGGTGGAGACAGCACAGGGGCAGAGACATAGACATATACTTTAGCAGTGAGTAGATGCACGAGACTGAATACGGCTACATGTACGTACTCGTATGTATTTCTACACCTGCCGAAGGCCAAATCGCACTGCAGCACAGGAGCTGGTCGGGGCGTGGTGCGTAAGGAAAAATCAGGTTCCCATAAGAAAATGTGTTCGAATAAGGGGACGGCTTGGAGAGGCAGACGGCGCAGAAGGAAAAGCTGTCGCACAAGGGAGAAACCCACAGCATAGGCGAAGACACCTTGCCCCTAGATTTTTTTCTTAACTGATGTCGCGGCAAAGGACCGCGAAGTATCAGAATGACAAGCGTCACCGGCACAGCATGGTGGCATATACGATATTGCCAGGAAGCCTGGGAGGCAGCCCTTGAGCGCTGCGCCGCGACACGCCATGCTGCGCGAGGCAGGGGAGTCAAGCATTGGGCGTTTCTGTGTGATTCTGCACGTGCCGAGCAAGGTGAGCTGTTGCGCGACTGCTTGAGTGGTATCGACGACGAGACTGTCGAGAAGTTGCTACCACACTTCAAGGAGGACTCCCCCATCGCTCGTGGGAACGGTGCCCACTTCATCCCGAGCACGTCGGATCCGGTGCTGCTCAGGAGACTCGACCGAAGGGCTCAGTCCTGGTGAAGGTGAGGAGCCTTGAAGCAACCAAGTCCCGGTTTTTACGAGCTTTGTGAGGCTGGGCAGCTGAGCTCCTCGCTGTGGCTCATCGCTGGAGGGCGATGCTCTCAGGCAGCAGCAGCTCCAAAGCCTCTGCAGGAGGCGCCCAGTGGAGGCGGCTGATCACAAGCACTGTGAATGCTCTGCATCGGAGGATCGGCCAGCGACAGAGGGGAGGAACAGGGAAAAGAATGTGTCTCGGAGCAATCGTTACACAACCCTTTCCTGCTTTGTGTCGGTGTTGTTTGAAGGCCACCGCGCCGAAGACAAAGCGCAGGCCGGACCGAACTGAGAGCAGTGGCCGGGTTTTGGCAGCTAAAACTGAGCGACGCTTGGGAAGGTTCTTCAGTGCCACCGTGGAGCTGGGTTTGCTGGAGGTCGGCCAGGCGGTGGGGCTGTCTTCGCCCCGGTTTGCAAATCGTGGGGGGCTGTTTCAAGGTTTGGGTACTTCTCGGGGACAACCGAGGACCACCATTGCCTTGCAACAGCCGGAGCCACTTACTGTGACGGCAGCATCGCCGGAGGCATGCTGCATTCGTTGGATCACTTTCACCTTGTGCAGACAGGCGGACGCAGTTTTCAGTCATGACCAGGTGAAGCTTCTGAGGGCAGACAACCTCCCACAGGCAAAGCTCACGCCCAAGATTCTGGAGGCGCTGCTTAGAATGGGTTGTGAATAGTTCCACGTCATACTGCCGAATTCCAGGCACGATGATGAGCCCACACACTCTGGCATGCAGTCATATGCAGTCTGCAGTCTGTCATCACAGAATAATTTGCAAGAAGCACGGAAAGATTACGGCTGGAAGCGTGGACTCTTGCTGAAAACTGTTTTGTCCAGGCTCTTCGATTGGCGCTGCGAGCGTGCCTTGGCCGTCTTAGCTTGAGGATACTATGCCTCCTCTTTCAGCGCGTGCGAGCGCAGCACTGTTAAAGCGAAGAGAGGAAGAGCTCCTGGTTGGTGCAGCGCTTCGAGAGCCTCTCCGAACTGCCAGCGAAGCTAAGCCGGAAGGCGCGGCGGCTGAGAGCCGGCTGAGAGCCGAGAGCTCAGAGTTCAAGGCTTCAGGGCTGTGTGCTGCAGGCTGAGAGGATGCATGAAGAATTGGAGCGAGCAAAGAACCTTGGTCTGAAATCAGGTTGAAGCTTAACCGAAGGTTTTTCAGTTGCCGCACTACTCGTACCGTGAATCAGGATTCCGCTGGTGATTGACTCGCCCTTTCTCCGACGTCGAGATCAAGCTTTGCTTCCAGGCCATGCCAGAGAGTCTGCAGGTCCCAGAAAAACACGCGGCCGAAAGCAACGAGGGGGGTAAGCGAAAGCTGTCGTAGCCAGATTGGCTCAAGGCCGAACGACCTTGCGGTCGGAAGCCAGTGATGAATTCTTGATGAAGTAGTCCGATAGTGACCCGCGCTGCCCGTACTTCAGACAACTGCGGGCATCACACGATCCTCTACTAACGCAGTGTCTGGGATGCAGTCACACATCCCATGCTTGTTCTAGAGATCAGATTTGTGATTTGTTCTTGGATCTCTCGTGAACTGCAGTGGGCTGACTGTGGCTCTCTGCACCTTTCCATGTCCGAGTGGTTGCTGATTCTGAGGCTAGTCTTCCCTGACCGAAACCACCGCGGTCATGGCAGAGTGCTTTGCAGGACGGTGTGCGTAAAACCCGAAAGGTGAACCTGCTGTGTCACAGTGTGCATGACATGGGAGGCCTGGCGGCAGGTGGCGGCTTCGCAGCCAAGGCCAGCTGTTCTTGAGAGAACATGTCCGATTGCATAATTTGATCTCTTTGTTGGACTGGCCGATATGCAAAGTTGTGTGTTAAGACTGCGAGTGCCCGCAGTTCGACCAGCGAAGCAAAGCTGCCAGTGGCAGCGGTTTCGTAATTTCGTACGATTTTCAAGACGTTGACGGCAACTGTAGGTTTGGCTTGCCCTGGCTGTGCCGTTCAAGCCGCTGGTGAATCTAGTGCCCAGCACTGCTCTACTCAAGGAGGCCTTCCAGTACAATCGCGAGAACTTTCTCTGGGATCGCAACTTGCGACGACGCAAAGAGTTTCAGGTGGAACCTGCGCAGTGCAAGCTCATGTTTTCATCTGCGACATGTCTCCAATTTGCACGGTGGTGAGCACGTGCGCCTGCAGATACAATGCTTCCGTGTTGACCAAGCCGAACTGTGGCGCAGAGATGTTCGGGATCTTATTTCGCTGACCGTCACTTTGCGAAAAACATGGGCCACGTTGTCGTATTCATTCGATTGTCTTTCAGATATCTTCAAAGCTCTGCCAAGGAATACAAGATGCACGTCTACTTGCTGGTGAATGTCTTGCTGCTTGGAATCACCGTGGCTCTCTGGTGTCAGGGCAAGCTCCCACATACGACTCCGGCGCCTTTGAATTAATTCGAGTCACCGGCGACCGGGTCAGAAACTCAGGAAAAGAACTTATGCCTTGATGTCACAGGTCTGGCTTATGACGGGCAGCGCACTGGCAATGGCTGGATCGTTCTCCTTCATCTTGCTTTCCATCTGGATGGCCATGCATCCAGGCTTTGGCAAGCAGGTATTGGTAGACAGATACCCGGGTCTGCTGAGGGTTTGCTTCTTTCTTTTGAAGCTTTGAGGAGATATCGTGGTAGCAAGGGGAGCGCTTTCCAGGCAGTCCACAGTGCGTCCGGAACAACGCATGCCCGCAACACTCGGACTCAAGATTGTATGCTCCATTCATGAGCAGTTTTGCCCTCGATGCCCATCAGTAGTCGGACAACCAAACGTGTAAAACAACTTAAAGCCTTTTTTCTTGGCAGCACGCCGATAAGCTTCCAGCTCACGCTCATTAAACCTTGTTTCCTGCAACACACAAACGGACAACTTGGACAAGCGAGCAACATGATCCAAGAGCGCCCACGCACCATTAGGCGACTGCACATTACAGGAATAAACAACCACGTCAACCGGACCGGGATTGGGCTCAACGCCGTGGGCCAGCAGCAGCAAGCGAAAGAAATCTGAAATGTCTTTCGAGACCTGCAACTGGAGCGACCAAGCCAAAAAGAAGCGAGGATGGTCAACACAGCTATATAGTCAAGAGAAACATGCGTTCGCCTCTGCAACGGAAACTCCCCACACGGAACAGATCTTGCTTCTGACCTGGGCCAAGTTAAGGCCTTGCCAAAACGCAGTCTGCAGTGCATGAGGTTTGCTTTCATTTCCACGACACGCACAAGAAGGGCACTTCCTTGAAGTCATGCCCATTAGTAGCAGCAGGATCACGCATCACGATAACACCATGAGACAACGCGACATCCACCTGAGCCTGTGTGATGTTCCAGGCCCTAAGCGCCGTTGTGATCACCAAGTTTGGACCACATCACGGCTTGAGCAGGCGAAGGGGCTCTGACACCACTACCAGTCGACCAGTTGTTACTAGCACGTCTCACAGACGGGCAAGAGACGCAAGTCAACAAGGTATCATTGCCACACTTCAATGCAGTGGCCCCATGCCAAGGAGTCCCAGTCAACATTCTCGACAATCTTCAGCTCGTGAACTGAAGGGTTCCAGTGATTCCAGTCCCTAACCTTGTTGGCTCTGTCTCTCAGCTTCATGGCGCCATCGCGGTATTTCGGGACACTATCCTTACGTTTTGGGTAAGCCTTGCCGTGCGCCTTAATAGACTCAGCAGCAGACTTTTTCTTCCGCTTCGGATGCCTCTCAGCCAGGTGCCCCTTACACTCTTCTCAAACTGCCAACGACCAAGCAAAGGCAAACCCTCACGACACCAAACACAAATCCAATCGCACTGTTTCAATGGCAAGGACTTGGATGTCTTGACTGTATCGACAAACTGGCGAATCAGATCTGTGCCTCTTTCCCAACTAGGATGTCTAGCATCAAGATGTGTGTTGCGCATAGCCGAAAGCTGTTTACCAGTTTTGCATCGTCCAGACATGAAAAGAATGCATGCCAGACTCAGAACTTGCAACCTTCAATCCAGCAGAGCCCAGAGAGACATCGCCATGAAGACTGCCTGCAGTGGAGGCAGCAGACGAAAAGTCTCTTTCTGGCTCGTTCCAGGAGTCTTAGAAGGCAACCAACGCTTCATGCTCTTCAAGCCAACCGCAGAGACCCGCGAAGAAGACGACGACGCAGCACTCGGAGTGTGGTTAGGAAGCCACGCAACGCCAGAGCTACTCGCGGCATGTTTCTTAACCGGAGTGCGCGAGCCCACAGAACTCAACGCATCAGATCCTCTCTTACCGGAGCCACGAAGCGACTGCTGAGACAGACTGATAGCATCTGACTGCTGCATTTGCAACCTCCCAGAAGGGATAGACGCCTTTCCTTTCCTAGGAACAAGCAAAACGTAGTGTTTCTCAACTTCATTATTCCCCAACACGACAGGATGCTCATGCTCTTGGCTTCGACCCATCAAAACAGGCGAACCACAGGTACCATCACTGTTCTTCTGGACAACGACCAACTTGATTGCTAATCTGGTTCCTTTTTGGGATTACCAAATAGGATCCTAAATACAAGCCACAAGAAGGAACTACTATGGGGCCTTTGGGTATGCATGGAAATACTGAGAGTCATAGTTGTGTTACTTGGTTTAGCGCCGTACTTTTATCATCTAATGCTTATCAAAGAGCTTACTTGAAAAGTCGCTGTCTCAAAAGGGGTTTAGGGTTCAGGATATGTGCGATTTGAGGATCCTGTGCTGGATCAATTTTGCGAATTTTAGGCTTAAGGGTTGAATGGTTTGGGGGTTTACGGCTTCGGCGGCAGGAACTTGTTTGAGCCAGGGGTTCTGGGGCACCGCAAACGCTAAGCCCCAATAGTGGTGGGTGTTGTCAGATCGGTTTCCTGACAGGTTTGGGATTTGAGCTTCTCCTTGATATGGGAGAGTACCTAGTTGTCAAGGACATTTTCAGGTGGGTAGTTACCGTTATAGGGGCCTTATGGAAGGTCTATATACCTTATAGAAGCCTTATAGAAGCACTATATACCCTAAACTCCCCACCAGTAGTCAACTGACAGATCCAGCGCTTGGGACGACTAAGCGACGTCACCCAGTCCTTTCATGGTTTCGGGGCCGGGCCGTCATCCGCTCCATCAGTTAGTTCCAGATCGGGCGCAAAGTCAGTGCGGTAGTCAGCCAACATGCTGGGCGATTTGAACACGCAGCGTGGTGGGTATGCTAGCAAACTGACCCTGTAGATCCTCAAGCTTGCTGCCTCGCATCAAAGCGGCACCGACAGCAAGAGACGAGCAGCTACACGAGCCCTGGCCTCCCGTCTCCAAGACGTCAAAGTCCGCGTTTAGACTGCGTTTTGTCTCAGGAGACGGTCCGGCGTTGATTTTTTTGGACTTAGACGTCAACTCGGGAGAACCATCTCTCTTCAGCAGCGGCAGCTGAAGGAGTCACGAGAACATCACCTCCAGCGTCAATCTGAGTAGCAGCAACTTCTTGACTTGGCTCCTCTTCCAACCGGCGGCTCGATGGTTTGAATCACAACTTCAGGAGGGGCCTTAGCCTGAGTCAATTTTGTAGACGAAACGTCCTGTGGCTTACGTTGTGGTGCATGCTGCAACAAGAGAAAGCCATCCAACCACTCCGCTGCCGCAACAGCGCCGACAAGAGAAGCAAGCCCCTTAGCGCGGATCAACCAAGGTTGAGCTCTGTTTTGAGGAGGGGCAACAACCTCAGCTTTAGTGAGAACCTGATTCAATTCCTCAGCAGTCCACTCTTCAGGGACACCTGACACGCCACACGCCAAGCGTCCGAGCATCCGGCAACTTTTGCACACGCAAACCTAAGTTGTTGCCTCCTCCAACTCGAAACGCCAACGGACACGACTTGCTTTTCGACTCGTCACGAAGCCAAGCAACGTACTCCGCAGAAGTTTTCTGACCACGGTCGTACCAAGCAACGTTAGGCCGACAGGCCTGCCTCTCAACGAGCACGGCATGGCGACCGGACAACTTCAAGCAAGTTTTTGTTCCACCTTAATGTAACCAGTCAGGAATAATGCAGTATCACCCATAAAATGGAAGGCTTGATCGTAATGAGCCTTGTAAGTATTGCAGGGGTGGCAATTCAAAACTGGGGGATTAGGGCGGGAGATTATTCAGCGTGCCGATGAAGCGGTGTGGCCCGAAGATCTCCACGGATTTCCCGGAAATGCATCCGACTCGAGTTCGCAAGTCGGAGTCAAGCCATGCCGAGTTCGCAAGAGCCCATCTCTAGTCG